CATATCATGACTAATACCATTAAAGTCAAAAATATTCCATGGGAACGACCAACATTGTTTTAAAGTTTAACCTTCAATTGACTGATGGTAAACAAATTCCATGCATCTCTGTCGCCATTTCTGTTAATATTTTTGCTGTCATTCATATCATCCACTTCTCCATCCGTTAGCTTTTGAGGATATGCGTTAGAATAGCTGTTCTTAAATGAAGGCTTTTCACCTTTGAGAGCATAAACTCTATAACTTTCTGCATACTTTATGTTTGAACCTCCTGAGCCATCATTGACATAAATTTTTATAGGCTTCCACCCTTTGTTCATGTTCCTGCTTCTTCCCTTAGCTCTTTTGTTCAGTAGTTCTACATCTTTATACACAGCTCCTGTCTCAGTGAATTCAACAATATTTTCATTCGTTAGCTTTACATTCAAACCCTTGTCGAGTATATTGTTCATTTCATACATATAAAAGGTTTTTATTCTATATGAAATGAGAAGCAAATCCATCTTAGCTGGTGCCGTTAATGTTCCAATTGAACCAACATCAAATGTTGACTCACGAACGACAAACAATATTGTCATAAAGAACTATAGTTCAGAGTGTTTGAAAGAACCAGAACCAGAGCTGAAATCCGTGAATTTAAACACAGCTTCAAACGCTAACGCTACATCAGATGTTAAGTTAGAGTATCCACCACTGGACCAAATTCTTTCAAGAGAAGCCAACGACAACCCTTACACAAATGTTCAAACAAATCCTTCAGATAACGTAGACCATTACCTTCTTCAGTTATACCAAACAATTTTACTCAAAGACGATAAGAAGCTTTTGACAAATCTTATAAGCAAGAACCAAATAATTCTAACAAAGGAGGACCTTGAAAATGTTATCTCACGAATAACAGGGAAACAATGTGTCATTGACTATCTCGACCCTGAAATCGAATGCTGTGGTCAAACTCCACTATTCATGAAAATAGGTAACATCCGCATCATTGAAACACCAGGAACTACAGGAGTTGAGTTTAAGTATAAATATTCGAACGAATATACAAAACTTTCAACAGAATATAAACTTTGTTTGAAATATGTTTTAGTAAATTAAAGCAACTTATAGTATCTATCCAAAACTTCTTCAACAGTATCGAACTCATCTTCATAATGTAGACCTAATCTTATTGACTTGGTGCAGTTTTCACTAACACAATATTTTTCTGTTCTCTTGACTGACATAACTAACTCATTTGTTTCATCAAACAGCAACAACCAAAGTTCATGACCTAATACATAACATTCATACTTTATATTTTTAGCTCTGAGTTCTCTTGTAAGCTGTTGCATTTAATATTTTCTAAAAAGTCAACTTCAACAGTCATTCGCACTGGTGCCTTCAGTTCTACAGGCTCTCCTTGAAAGTCAACAAGTCTGAATTGCATGTCTTTCAAATTATGTGGACTAATGCGAACCCATTTACCTAAATGAGTTGCTATGACAGGAACGTTTGGAATGAACATTGAATTTACTGCATAACAGAAAGACTTATATTCTACTGAACCTTTACTATTAACTCCTGAAATACCTGTGACATTAGCTATTTTTGACTCAACATACAAACAATTGCCATAACATACGTATGGAACAGATTTCATCTCAATCGTTTTGTCAACACTTTTCAAAGGAAATGTCATATGGTATGCTCCTAAAAGAAGTTGAACTCTATGACTCATTCGTGTTATCTTGAACTCTTTCTTGCTACTGAACTTCAATGTTCCCTCAGAAGAGAGTTCGACATCTATGTTGTCAATAGTTTCTTCATTTATGAGAGTATCTATGACTCCAGCAATTTTATCTATTCTATACTCTGCTCTGTTAGGAAATGTTATAAAACTTCTTTTGTCATCTATTTCAATCTCTATGAAATCTGTTTCATCTGTTATGACAAAAGTTGCGATAGTATTGAAGTCAACCATTCTGAATGCAAGCGCTTCATTCTGAAGACCTAAGTTTGTTTGTAGCTTTACTGTCCCGTATTCGTTTGGGTCTGTACTTTGCAAATAGAACAACATTTTATTCTCATTAAAATATGACTATTGCTGCATATGCGTATGAAACAAATGAAGCAAGAAGAGCACATGAACTAGTAAACGAAAACTCAACTTTAACCATTGAAGGCAATGATTTAGTCATTGACGATGGAAAAACTAAAAAAGTCATTGATTTCGATACTTTTAACACTTATGACCCATTCATTACAATAAGTAAAGTTCCTATCATAAATGATGGAACGGTGCAATATATAAATTCTACAGTAGATGCCTCATTAGTGAAAGTATTAAATGTTCTCATTGAATTGTTAAAGAGCTTTCGATTTGACGACAACATTAAATGCCTAAAGAATTTAGTCATGAATGAGAAACAAATTCTCGGCGTTGCTGGTAGCAGTAATGATGTACACCTTATGACATTAGAATATTATAACGAACATAAAGATGAACTGAAAGGAGAGAAGGGTGACACCGGACCTCAAGGACCTCAAGGACCACAAGGACCACAAGGACCACAAGGAATACAAGGAATACAAGGAATACAAGGAATACAAGGACCTCAAGGCGAGAACGGTTTGGATGGTGTAGATGGAAAGGATGGAAAAACTGCTAAATCATGGATATGGAACCTTATAAATACTGGTTTAACAGCTGCTTCATATGGAGTTCTTCAATACCAAATCGGAAAGATATGGGCAGTACTTGGTGAAGAAGTTTTAAATGACGTTAAAAATGCTTTGAACTTCATTTCAAATGGTTCGGATACTATTAAAACTTTATCTGGTTGGATGCAAGAAACAAGGAGTCAAATAGATACTGTAAGACGTATAGCAAACAATGCACGTACGGGATTGGATACTTTACGAGAAGCACAAAATACACTAAAGGAAGCAAATGATATTCTTGGCTCAGTATCAGACATGCATGAAGATTGGCTTAAAGGTATTGACAAATCTTTAAAAAATCACAGTCAGTCTATTGCTGACTACAAGAAAAGTATAGATTTTTTACATAGTGCTATGGACGTACATGATGGAAGCATAAGGAACTTACTTAATGCTAACAATAACTTACCAGGAACTATTAAAGCATTTATAAAGTCCTTTGTAAAACCTGGTGCTCTAACATTTAGGTCTTTGAGAGCAAGAGCATTGAAGTCAAGAGATGCAGAAACTCCAACAGAACCTACAGAAGGAACTGAAACAACAGAAACTCCAGAAGAACCACCAAAACCAACAGCTAATGAAATATTGTTCGAATATTTTCCAAGGTACTCTGTTCTCATTGCATACATTCAAGAAATACTTAAGAAAGCAGACTTGACTTTAGGAGATGATGAAAGTTCTGTATATCTTTCGTTCCAGTTTCAAATAGCAGAACTTTTGAGACAGATATGCTTAATGTATGACAACATCTCTGATTTCACAAGATATGATGACGACCATGACCCCGAACACGGTGAAGAAGAAGTTTTACAAACATCCATTAAGACAGGAAAGGTTTTAACACAAAGTCTCATTATTGACACCAAAGATGGTGAAGTGGACGTTCTTCAAGAGCTGAAGAAAAATACTTCTGAAGGAGGTGGTGGTAGGCATGAACTTGAAATAAATGAGATAGAAGAGAAATTAGCCGAAAAAGCAGATAAAAACCACGTTCATTATATAACTTCAGACGAACAGATTATAACGGACTACCATGGATATTTAACACGAAGTGATGAAGTGAAGACGGAAGATGTTAATGAAAGAAGATATAAATACATTCGTGCTAAAGGTTATGACATAAGCTGTACTGTACAGTATGACACGGGTAAAGCACCAGAAGCATTTAGTTATAACGATGAAATTTATGCCTCTACTTTCTCTGTTAACGGTGTATTAGTTGAACCAAGATTTACATTGAGAGTTAAGACAAAAATAACCGTTGAAGATGCTATTAAAAGTAAAGCTGACAAAGTTGAACTCGAAGCAATGAACAAAGTTTTGAAATCTCATAAACACAACATCTCCGATATAAATGAACTTCAAGCTACATTAGACAGTAAAGCCGACAAAAATCATACACATAAATCCTTCACTACTGTTAGAGCAGACGACATAATATTGAACTATGATTTGGGTTCAAGTGCACCTTTAGAGAATCCGAGTACAAGCGTAAAAGATACTCTTAACAATTTAGATAAGAGTTGCAGGAATATCGAAGATCATGCCAGAAACTTTGAAGCACATGAACTACCCGCAATGTTAGACAGTAAAGCCGACAAAAATCATACACATAAATCCTTCACTACTGTTAGAGCAGACGACATAATATTGAACTATGATTTGGGTTCAAGTGCACCTTTAGAGAATCCGAGTACAAGCGTAAAAGATACTCTTAACAATTTAGATAAGAGTTGCAGGAATATCGAAGATCATGCCAGAAACTTTGAAGCACATGAACTACCCGCAATGTTAGACAGTAAAGCCGACAAAAATCATACACATAAATCCTTCACTACTGTTAGAGCAGACGACATAATATTGAACTATGAGTTCAAGTGCACCTTTAGAGAATCCGAGTAAGCGTAAAAGATACTCTTAACAATTTAGATAAGAGTTGCAGGAATATCGAAGATCATGCCAGAAACTTTGAAGCACATGAACTACCCGCAATGTTAGACAGTAAAGCCGACAAAAAATCATACACATAAATCCTTCACTACTGTTAGAGCAGACGACATAATATTGAACTATGATTTGGGTTCAAGTGCACTTTAGAGAATCCGAGTACAAGCGTAAAAGATACTCTAACAATTTTAGATAAGAGTTGCAGGAATATCGAAGATCATGCCAGAAACTTTGAAGCACATGAACTACCCGCAATGTTAGACAAGAAAGCAGACAAAACAGAGCTTCAAACATTAAAGACTCAGATTCTTGAAACATTATATCCTATAGGCTCTATTTATACGTCAATGAACTCAACAAATCCAGCAAGTGTTTTAGGTTTTGGTACGTGGAAGCAGATTGTAGATAAATTCTTATACTGTGCTAACTCTTCAAAGCAAACAGGAGGTTCGAAGAAAATTAAAGAAGCAAACCTTCCACCGCACACTCATACAGGAACTACAAACACAACAGGAAATCATTCACATTCAATAACAAAAAGAGGTTATACAAATCTTGCAGCAGGTTCGGATAGACAGGGAATGCATAGATATGATATTTCAAGTGACCCAGTAGATTCAAGCGCAGGTATTTTCTGTGGAACCGCAGGAAATCATGTCCATACTTTCACAACAAATCCAACAGGCTCGGGTGCAGATTATATGCCACCATTTGTGACTGTATTCGCATGGTACTGCGTTCAATGAACGCGCTTGAGCCTGCTTTGCGGACTTACCGTCTTGAATAAAATCTTTAACTTTACATAAATGAGCTTGAAAGAAGTATTCGAACAACATCCATGGAGGTCATTTAAGAAATTCAATGAAGCTGCAAAGAGTTGGGGATTTACTAACAGAGCTGAAGTGAAAAGGTTCTTTGACAAAAATGTTGTACATCAAACAAAAATAAACCCTTACGACTACTTTTTACCAATTTACTCCAACACTCCTGACGCATACCAATTTGACACTCTCGTTCAAAGCAAAAAGGAGGACATAAACCATTCCTCATCTTCATTAATGTTAACACTCGTAAAGCTTTTGCGTATATAATGAAAAATAAAGGAACTCGTGAAGTGTTAAGAGTTTTACAAAAGTTTGTAGCAGAACATAGCCCAAGTACTTTAACATCAGACCAAGACAGTGCATACCTCAGCAACGAAATCACAGAATTTCTCATTAAGCATAACATAACTCACTACACTACTGAAGACCATAACCATAACATACTCGGCATCATTAACCGCTTCATAAGAACGCTCAGAGATTTAAACCAAGAGCGAGACTTTACCGAAGAAACAATGAAACATTTTCTCGAAGTATATAATTCCTCAACACATTCTACAACAGGACATACACCAAATTCAATGACACAACAACAAGAAGAAAAGTATATACAAAAGAAACGAAGTCAAACACAAAATATCAGAAATCAACACAATTTACCTTCATTCCTGGTACAAAAGTTCGTGTAGTTCTTGACGACAAACCGTTGACAAAGAAACGTTTAAGGTTAAGTAGAAACTATTATATCGTAGACTCTACGCAAGGTAATGGATATCTTATAAAAGCTGCTGACGACTCCATAGCGTTTTACCCTCGTCATAAATTAGTCGAAAGTAGTAATGGCAAACTTGCTGAAACCATTGACGAAGCAAAGCGAGGAGTGGTTATTGAAATACTTGGCTATAACACAAACGATGACACTTATAAAGTAAGATATGAAGGAGGTGTTGAAGATGTTATACCATCTAAGAACTTGAGAGAGTCAAAGCCAACACATCTGGGACCATTAGAGCGGGAGTACTGGAAAGACAAAAAATATGCCAGAAAGAATAAGAAAATTCTTCTAAACTTTTTCATTAGATGTAAATCAGACATGAATGAGAACAGTCATGTATTATTAATGGTACCATTTATTTTAACATAAAGACGCAAAGCGGCGAGGACGAAGTCCATGACCAAAAATAATGTTTAGGGTAGATGGTTAGATCTAACCTCATTTCTACCCTCTTGAATTTGTCATGAATTTCCTTAAGACAGAAAAAATAAAGTTAGTTTTATTTTTATTTATTTTTTTATTTTGTATGTAAGAACATATATGACAAACATTGAGTTTGAAACAGTTAAAAAGATAGACAATGACACCAAATTGGTTAGAATAGGTGATTTAAACGTAAGATACTCAAAGAAATACAACAAATATTCTTTGTCAGACATTATATCTCCATCTGGAAAGAAACCGAAGGACTGGGTTAGAATTGCTTCTACTCAGAAAATTTTGACAAGAAATCCTGAGCTTATGATATCAGTAGCATTTCATGGAACAAGAGCATATCTTATAGACAAAAGTCTTATACCAATAGTTTTGTTATGGTTAGACCCAGTTGTTGGATATAACTTCATAACATATGGTTCATTCGATACGGAACGTTGCAGTGAAGGCTTACTTTACATCGTTCAGAAACCGAAGGACTTCAATACAAAGAGATATAAGATAGGAAGGACATATAATATAACTCTAAGATATGACTCTACAGTCAATAGAGTCAAGGTTGTGTTCGTTAATGATATGAGAGCTGCAGAAACAGAACTACTTGAAAAGTTTGAGAAAATGTATGGTGCTCCCACGAAAGGTAAAGAAACGTTTGAAGTAGATGAGATAGATAAAGCTATAAAATTATTTGACGAAGTTGCTGAAAAATACATGTAAAGCGTTTATTTTTGGTCTTTTGTGAAAGTCAGAAAATAAAGTTAGTGTCCTTTTTTGTATTTTTTTGTATAAAAGATATGATTTCAGGGATTTTTTTGACGAAGTGTTAATGTTCACTTCGTCAAAAATAACAGTTATATAATGAAAAAGTGAAAGTTATTCTTCATTTTTTTGTATAAAAGATATGATTTCAGGGATTTTTTTGACGAAGTGTTAATGTTCACTTCGTCAAAAATAACAGTTATATAATGAAAAAGTGAAAGTTATTCTTCATTTTTTTGTATTTGACGAGAATGTCGGGTAGATGGTTAGATCTAACACGTTTTCTACCCTCATTTCTACCCTCTTGAATTTGTCATGACTTCTTCGTAAATGTTTTGTCAAGACTTCTTCGTAATGAGTGTAAAGGACCCAAAAATATATTTTAGGGTAGATGGTTAGATCTAACCTCATTTCTAACCTCATTTCTAACCTCATTTCTACCCTCATTTCTACCCTCATTTCTACCCTCAGCCGCTAAGCGGCGAGACCCAAAGGGTCTTGAATTTTCATGAATTTCCTTAAGATGAAAAAAATAAAGTTAGTTTTATTTTTATTTATTTTTTTATTTTGTATAAAAGATATGATTTCAACAATCGGCACAACAACAATTCAAACAACAGCACCAAATTCGTTAGTCATGAATCCAACATCTATGTTAGTAGAGATGAAAAGCTTTATTCCTTCTTCATATACTTTTGAAACAAAAATCCAGAAGATAAAGCAAGAACTTTTAACAAGTAATTTAGACTGTACCGCACAGGATGAAGAAAATGAAGAATATCTTTATGACATGCAGGACATTATTGACCATTTACCCAAATTGCCTGAAATCCAACAACAAAAGCTCACTATTCATGAATTCGATGAAATAGAAGTGAAACCAACTGACTCAGTAGAAATAAAGAAGTTCATACGTAAAGTAAATTATGAGTTTCTAGGATATCATTGCAACCATAAAGTTATGGACAAAGATTGCGACATGGTATATAAGAACATCTCTGACATATATAAATCCGAAGAATTTAAGACATACGACAACTTTGTTTCATTAGTTGCAGAATGTGTATGGCAGATAAGAGATAAAGATAGAAGAGGTAAGGTATGGAATGAACAGATAAAACCAACTGCTTTTGAGTTAAAGAAAACCATTGACGCCTTAGTTGTTCTAGCAGGTCAAATTTCAATGTATAACGCAAAAATGAATCCACAATGTTCTAAATGTAAAGCAGCAATGAGGAAATATAACTACTCCGTCAAAGAGATAAACGTATGAGAAACGACTATGCTGACTTAAAGAAAGAAGTAGAGAAACCAGCAGAAGATAAAATGGACATGTTAGCATTTCTGAACAAAAACTATCCAACTGCTGACGATTTCCTATTATCTGACGTCAAGAAGAAGTATAAAGAAACCTTCGGCATTGTTAAAACATTCGATGTACTAAAAGAAGAAATAGAAGCTACAAAACTGTTTAGAATCTCACGAATTCATAACGTATATCATGTAAAATGTTTATAAAATAACTGGGGTAGAAATGAGGGTAGAAATGAGGTTAGATCTAACCATCTACCCTAAAATATATTTTTGCTGAATTCAACACAAAAATAATGAATTTCCTTAAGATAGAAAAAAATAAAGTTAGTTTTATTTTTTTCTAACTTTTTATCTTGTATGTAAGAACAGAAATGTCAGTCGAAGCAAAAACATTCACTAACAAATCTAATGGCGAAACATTCACAAAAGGCACTTATAACGGTATTGAAGTCTTACGTAGAGACAAGGATGGTTATATAAATGCAACAAATATGTGTCAGCAGTTTAGGAAAGACTTTAGAAAGTTGTTGGAAAATAAGTCCTGGGAAGAGTATTATAAGGCATTTTGTGAAGAATATAGCAACCGTCTGAATTCCGGCGTTGCTTTTTATACAAAATTCATGCAGGAATTCCTGATGAAATCAAACAGGTTAGAGGAACGTATGTAGACCCAAGACTTATAAACTATATAGCAATGTGGGCTTCTCCAAAATATTGCATAGCAGTTGGAAAAATTATGGACTCCATAGACAAGAAAGTTCATGAGAAGTTAGATGAAGAAGAACTCGAAGATACAGTAGAGAATGCTAAACCTTTGTTCGAACAAGAAGTTGGAAAAATGTGCGAAAAACAATTAGAACATGAACGTGAGATATGTTATGGTTATAGAGATTCTCCATACGAACTAGACCAATGGGAACAAGAAGATTTAAAGAGAGAATTTAGAGAATATGAACTCGCTAAGATAGCATTAGAAGCTGCAGAAAAGAAGTTAAAAGTTTGGGGTCGTTTTGTACAAAAATATTGTGAGTAAATGAACTCATTATTTTTGCTGAATTCAGCACAAAATTCTGAGTAAAATGACATTGACACGTGTCAAACCGTTGAGTTTTCACAAATTTTAAAAATTGCTGCGGAAAGTTCGTCAAAAAAGTGAAGGTTCCCGACGGTTTCAAACCGCCATACTTTACATGAAGATAGTTTACAATGTCAACTAAATATCATGTACGATAGAAACGGTTATGTAAAGTTTACATTTTGTAAAGTTCTGTCCTGATTCAAGACAAGTCTTGTATTTTTTCAGAACAAGTCTTGTATTTTTTCAAGACAAATCTTGTCCTGATTCAGAACAAGACTTGCACTTTTTAGTCAGTTTTTCTTGTAAAGTTCTCAAATTTGAGAACAATTGTCCTGATTCAAGACAAGTCTTGTATTTTTTCAAGACAAATCTTGTATTTTTTCAAGACAAATCTTGTCCTGATTCAAGACAAGTCTTGCACTTTTTCAGGAAATCCTATCGTCCAACTTTACAAATGTCACTTTTTCAACATGATTGCATTTTGGTCGGGGAACAACTTTCTCTCAATTTTGCCACTTTTTCTATCGTCGTGTTTTGTCACTTTTCCCTCAGGGTGTGTGTCAGAAAATATCCAAAATCTTTATAGCCTCGTATCTCCTTCAATTCTTGACGGTTTGACATGTATGACACACCATTCAATTCAGAATTATGTGCTGAATTTTATGACCTTCATTTGTTCGTGACTTCTTTTCACATATGTAACCATGAATTTTTAACATTTCTTTAACACAGAAAAATAAAGTTAGTTTTATTTTTATTTATTTTTTTATCTTGTATGTAAAGACAGTAATGACAACATCAGAGAACACAACAACTGCTATCGTTCATGAAGCCATTAATGAAGAATACGAGTACATACAGTATAACAAACAATTGAGACTCATTCGTTCGGTCAAAGATGACATGTACCAAATGCAAAGTATAATGAATGCTCTTTGTTCTACAAAGCAAGCCTATCATTGGTTTGAAAACCAACAGACAAAAGAACTTTTAGAAGAATTTCCTCATATGATTGCTTCCCTCGGAAAACCGAGAGAAGAGATTCCGTACGAAAATCGCAAGAATTTGGCTCCTGGTTTGAAAGGTTATTATGTACATAGACTTCTTGTAAATGCTGTAGCAATGTGGGCTTCACCTCGTTATGCTTGTTATATTTTCATGAAGTTAGATGAACTATATAAAGCAGAACGTGGAGAGATGGAAAAGAAACTTCAAGCAAAAGATGAAGTCATTGAATCCAAAGACAAAAGCATACAGAAAAGAATACCACGTTCAGTACCAAAAGGAAAGGAAAAGAGTTATAAGTATATGATTTACGCTGAAGAGTTGGAGAAAGAAGAAGATAGAGATATGGTTATGTTGCATTTAGTCAGAAGAAACAACAAAAGCTTTTACGACCTTGCTAAGATTTACAAATCTGACAGAAACTGGTTCTATCGTGAAAACTTACCGATTTCAATGACACCGAATGAGCAAATAAAGGAAATTGTCAAAAATACTCTTCCTCAAACACACTATGACATCAAAGGTTGCACAATAGTTACATTCAAAGAAGACTTAACATTACTGAAGGAAAAAATAACAGAATATTTCGATAACTTCAAAGAGGAAGAATAAAAAAATCTAAGCTAATTTTATTTTTTTATAAAATTTTATCTCATATGAAAGAACATGAATTTAGAATATTCGGAACTCATGACAGAAGAAGAGAACGAACAACATGTAAAAGATTATGCAAAATTTCTGAAGGTATATAAAGCATTTAAACAATATCTAAATGCTTCTAAAGATTATGCAAAATTTCTGAAGGTATATAAAGCTTATGAAAAAGCGTATGAAAAGTTTATACATTGGGGAATTGTTGTAAAATATCGATATGAAGAATAAACAAAAATATATTTTTGCTTAAATAGCTTCAGGGTCTATTTCTTCAACCATTTCACTTCCTTCGTCAATGTCAATAGAAGCTTCTTCAACCTTTGGTAAGAATTTCTGTATAACATCTTTGTTCGTTATTGTCTTCAGAGATGAAGGATAATATTTCACATTTGTTTCACCTTTCTTATATTCTTTCTGTTCGGAAAGATTTAAAGCAATACTGAAGAAGTCAACGTTAGAGTTCTTTATAACAGTATAGTGTGTATCTTTGACATTGACGAAGAAACTCTTTTGTTTCAAAACTACTGCTAACTCTTGTGAAGTATAACGTTTGCGGTCAATGACGATAGCTAATGGTCTGACATACTGACCAAACTTAGATTCTTTCACAAACTTCTTGTTAAAGATAACATTAACGTTTGAAGCACCATTGAACTCATTCTTGATGGCAGTAGCGAGAGCATTGTATGAAAAGAACTTGCAATCTTGCATGTGTTTCATTATAATAAAAATATTAAATTATTTTGAAAAATAACTTAAAAAAAATCTAATCTAATTTTTTCAAAAAAAATATTTTTTATCCGATAGAAAAGATGACAGAAAAATTAACTGTTTACATAGCGCCAGACCCTTCTTGCCCACATCTTTTTAAGCCACAATATATAGACATAGAACTAAATAGTGAAGG